CGTTTTACCCAGTCTGCAGTTCTGCACCATTCTAGAACAGCAGCGGGTGAGGTGCCGCCTCACACAGACGGTGTGCATGGGCACTCCACATGAGCAGTCGGCTGTGTGCGGAGTTAAAGTCTTACTATCCAGGACTTTAACTCAAAATGAAAACAAAGAAGAGAAGTGGCAAGCATTCTGTAGGATCTAGAGAAAAGAGGACCAAGCAGGAGAGATACTGGGGAGGAGTGAGGGTTCATCAGTCCTGGGGCTTAGACCCTCCCAGAGAGGACCCACCTGGCTTGGGGCTCACAGACTGGGGATCTCAGAGCACCACACTGCCGCTGAGTGCAGAGGGCTCTGGGCTGGATCTTGTTAAGTAGGCCTGATTGGCCTTGAACTCATGAAAAGATGCCTGCCTCTGCCTCCTGAGTGCTGGAATTAGAGGCATGTGCCACCATGCCCAGCCCCATTTCTTTCTGACATTGAGACAGTTCTTTCTGGTATACCACAATCCAGCTAAGTCTACATAGACACCTTGCATTGTGGGGTATGTGTGTATGTGTGTGTGTAAGACTAACGTAGATTGCAACACTTTGGTCTCCTTGACAGAGCACGTGACATGCTCAGTGGCACTTAGGAGACACCCCGGTCTCACAGAGCCGCTGCAGAGTTCTTGGGGAGAACCACTAAGCTCTACTCCACAGTGACTCTCACTCCCAACAGCTCAGAGCCCATTCCCTGCTAGGTCCTCTGTCCTACTCCTGGGTGGCTTTTTAACTGACAACTCACAGGATTTTGCACTTTGCGAGTGATGATTCCAGTCCGTTCATAGTTCCTTTGTGGTGATGTTTTCCCAGCGAGACAGAGAGCTCCTGAAGGCCGAGTTCCTCCTGGTCTACCATGACTGTGTGCTCCCTCTTCTGCATTCAACACTGCTGCCCCCATTCAGATGGGCAGAAGAAGAAACGGAGGCTGCTCGATGGAAAGCCATTGCTGACTTCCTCAAGCAGAGCAGAGAGAATGAGGGTTCCCTGAAAGCTCTGCTATCACCAGATGGGGTTCATGAACCATTTGACCTTTCAGAGCAGACCTACGACTTCTTGGGAGAAATAAGAAAGAACTCAGCCTGACGGTGGCCATGGCTCCTGCTTCCCACTGAACCCCACGAACTCCCATGATGACTTGGCTCAAATAACAGAACCAAAAGAAATGGACTGGTTAGAACTTAGGTCGTATTCTTTTGTGTGCAAATTATATTTTCAAAGAAATATCTAATATTTTATTGTATGTAAAACAATAAAATACATTTTATAATGAATATTGTTATATCTAAGTTTGAATTTTTTTTCAAAACACTAAAGTGTCAAGCTGAAGGTACAGATGTCTATGAAAGCAGAGTTTTTTTTTTTTTATCAAAGACTAATTTGTGATTATCCAAGAGAGTGAAAATATAATTCACCAACTGGGAGGAGATATTTCCAAATCATAAGACTGATGAAAGTTTAGTGCTCAAGGGCTGGGCTCGGTGGTAGAGTACTTGTCTAGTACAGGCCAGGCAGGATTCCTGGCCTCAGATTTGACAGACACATGGGACCTTGGCCTTGAAGAGAAGCACTCACTGTGCCTCTCTGTGAGAGCCCCGTCTGCCCTCAGAGGCCAGCAAGAGTGTGCCAGGCTTTTTTTATGGGCTACCAAACAGCTCCCAAATCATGACACACAGACTTCTCCCTAGTTATGAATTCTCAGTCTATGCTTGTTCCACTAGCTCTTATAACTTAACCTGTTTCTCTTCATCTACATTTTGCCTCGGGACTTTTTACTTTCTTTCTGTGTGTCCTACTCTGTCTGCTACTGGCTGGTGGTTGTCTGGCTGACTCCAGGGATCTCCATCTCTTTCTCCCTCCTTCTCTCCTCTCTTCTCCTCTTGTTCTTAGATTTCTCCTCCAGCCTATTCTCTCTGCTCACCAGCCCTGCCTATCCCTCTCCTGCCTAGCTATTGGCCATTCAGCTTTTTATTAGACCAATCATGTGTCTTAGGCAGGCAAGGGGAAGCAAATGCAACACATCTTTACATAATTAAACAGTTAAAGTAATATTCCACAAGTAAGGGCCTGTTAACGACACCTTTCTGCCCGTCACTCTAAGGCACACTTCCTAGATGTCTCCTCTCCCACCCAGGGTCTCTCCAGAAGCTGTTCCCTGGGGACCCTGCCTGGTCTGATGTGCACAGGATCTCCAGGGACTCTGTCCTACCTAGCCCTTGAGTCGCCCCTCCCCCAAGCCTCCTGGAGGCCCATTTTGAAGGGAACCTGAGACCACCTCACCACCACACCCACTGTAAAGTTAGGTTTTTGTTTTAATTATTTGGCTTATTCTCGGCCTGGGCTGGACATTTGGGATGAAAATAAATGCTGGCGAGTTCCTTTCCCTGGATGTAGGGCCGGGAGGAAGACAGCTTTCAGAACTCTGAGGCTGTCTCCCCTGCTCATTAGAAGTGGTCAGGACTTGACACCTGACACCTGTCGACAGTTTCGTGGTTTTTGACACATGAGGAAAGTGGACAGCCACAGCCAATTTGGGTGATGCTGGGTCAGAAAGGGAGAGATATGGCCAGTCAGCCTGAATATGGGGGGGGGGGCACGGGCGCAGGGCTGGGTGACGCACCACACCCCTACCCGTGAGAAATTCCTCATTTTCAGTCAGTGGAATCTTGTTTTTTCAGCAAAACCTCTCTTGCTTTTTAAATGTCACTTTTTAGCTTCCAAAACAGGAAACGGTTGTCAAGGAGCCAAAAACATCCTGGCAATAGTCCTGGGGCATGTGTGTCAAGAAGCCAGGCTCAGCAGCAGGCTGAGTTAAGCCTGCAGGGGAGAGGAGTGGTGGGACAAGGCAGGCCAGGACAAGCCTTCTCCCCAGAGCCTCCCAGGAAGGTGAGGAGGCTCCCTACAGCAGAACCGTATAAACTAAATCACAAGGCCTGTTCTTCCTCAGCATCTTTATTGCTGCCTTTTAGAGTGCATATGTGTGTGTGTGTGTGTGTGCATGTGTGTGTGTGCATGTGCTCGAGTGTGCATGCATGCACAAATGCATGCATGTATACATATGTGTGTGCATTCATGCGTCTGTGTGTGTGTGTGTGTGTGTGTGTGTGTGTGTGTGTGTGTGTGTGTGTGTGTGTATAATGCTCAGAGGAAAATCTCAGATGTCAGTCCTAGACCACCTCGTTTTGGGAGGGTCTCTTATTCTCTGCTCTGTATACTAGGCTAGCTGGACTATGATCTTACTGGAATTCTCTCGCTTCTGCCTCCCAACTCAATTTAGGAGTGCTGGGATTACAGATACACAGTGCATCAGATTTATGTGGGCTCTAGGGATCTGAACCCAGGTCTTACATTTGCACAGAAAGCACTGTACTCACTGAGCTGTTTCCTCAGCCCCTCTGGCCACTGCTCGAGTGTTCTAACATCAGGTCTGCTGGGGTCCCCAAGTCTAGGTGCTTGAGATGATGCTAGAGGGCAGGAAGTCTCAGACTTTGGTTACTCCATGGTCTTGTGGATTCCTGTGGAGTCTCCAGACTCTACAGCATCCCTATGAGCAGGGCAGCTTTGCCTGCCCATCCCAGGAGCATCTCGGAAAGCCAGCATCTCAACAAAGCAATAGGGAGGCAGAGCTGTCACCTGGGAGCTTTTTCTGTCTCTAGTGTGATAGGATATCCTCTGCAGGGTGCCTGCACTTCCTCTTATGCACAGCATCCCAAGGCAGGGGAGTTCTCTGGCAGTCACAAAGATCAGCCCTGTTGTTGGCTCACTGCTGTGTATTCTCTTTCCTCAATACAAAGAGGTGGGGACAGGACCCTACTTCCTCAGGTGCCTGCACATCTGAGGGGTGTCATTGTGTACTCCCTTATTTATTCAGAAGGTTGCTGGGGCAACCACTATCCTACCAAGCTGAGTGCTATCTTACGGCATGCTCAAGTAGCCAGTACCCACATGAAAGAACCTCAAAAAGGAGGGCACGATGGTTGTGAGGTCCTACACTGGTGTCTCATTTTTGTGACATTTAAATTCTAACAGTTTGGGCTGTGACCATAGCTCAACTGCTACACAAACAAGAGGCCCTGAGTTCAGTCCTCACATAGAAAAGTGCCAAGTACAGCAACAGCATGGAAAATGCTGCTAGCAAGGCCAGTGTAGCCCACTTGGTGAACTCCAGGCCAAAGAAAGACTGTCTCTAAAGGCAAGGCAAGGTAGGAAACACCTGAGGATGCCCTCTGGGTATCATGTGCATACACTTGCACGCTCAATCAATTCCAGTAGTTCCATAACTGAGGCATTAATGGCCTCATGGCAGCGCAGCCAGCAATATTGTACCATAAACATTCCTGTCGGGGCACTCCCTTTCTGAAATGCTATCTGACCTTGGGGCCTTCTCAACTCCAACATTCACACCCCAAAACCATTTCCGTACCACATAAGCCGGATAGCACTATCTGTTGAAATTTAGCTGAGCTCCTGGTATCTGGTACAATAATCAAATCAACTTGGGGAAGGAGGAGTAAGGGATAAGTGAATGACCAGGGCAGACCCGAACTGCCACACAGGTAGGACACTGGTGGCCTATGGCGTCTGACTCAGTGGTGACTGACACTGAGTGAGGGTGTGTGGACTGCAGGCAGTAATATAAAACGGAAATTATTAACAGGATGCAGCTCACACTCGGGACTTTGATAACACACTCTGCCATGGTCTCTCTCTTACGCTCTACAAGGCAGCTTGGACCTTACCCTGTTCATCTGCGTCTAATGCTGCCAGCAAAGATTAATGAAGAACTTTGTGCTTTCTCAGAGGTCAGCCTGGAGACAACAAAATATCGAGAGGAGAAAGGTGAGGAGAAGGAAGAGAAACTGGGAGAGGAGGAGAAGGGAGGAGGGGGAAGTGAGGAGGAGGGAAAATTTCTCTCTGAAGTCTTTGATTGGAGAAATGAGAGAGCTCATCGTTCAGCACATTCGTTGGGGTCCTCCGTGTTGCCAGGCAGTGTTCAAGATAGCACAGTGGTCAGTCATAGAATACTCCCACTCTCTTGCTCTCCTGCTCTCCTGAAGCCCATGGCCTAAGGGCGGCCGGGGGCCAAGGGTCAGGGACAAACAGGGAGTAGTAAATAAATGGGAGAAACTCCCAGTGAGTGTTTACAGAGAATTCACTCACTCGCTCAAGCCAAGGTTAGTCTGCCTTCTCTTGCCCACAGGGTGGAGCTGAGACCCTTGATCTGGACCCAACAAACACGGTGAGTGAGGAACAGGGGAAGACAGGCAGAATTCAAAGTATTACCTAACTGTTGGGGGCCTTTGCTCTCCCTCCTTCTCTCTGTCTCTCTCTCCTCCTCTCCCCTTCCCTTTCTCATCTCTTTGGTAGGTTTTATTTGGTTGGTTGGTTGGTTTTTGTTTTTTCTGAGTTATGGTTTCGCTCTGTAGCCAGGGAAACTCACTCTGTAGCCTAGATAGGCCTTGAGTGACGATCCTCCTACCTCAGCCTCCCAAGGCCCAGGGTTGTAGCTATAAACCACCAGACCCACCTGACTTTCCCATTTTCTTTCCCCTGCTACCTCCCAACCAGGACACAGAGGCCGTCTGAAACCCAGAGCTGGACAAGGCATGCAAAGACGTCTCCAAAAGCAGCCTTCAGTGCCTGGCCTGGTAAGCAGAAAGAGCCCAAGGGACCAGAGAGCATGCGTAGCGCTGCGACTAAATGACTGACAGAGGAAGATTAAGGAAGGAAGCGTTTCCTTTGTTTGGGCTCATAGTTTGAAAAGACAGTCTGTCATGACAGGGAAAGCGTGACTGCAAGGGCATAAGGCAGATGGCCACGTCGCATCAGCAGGTAGGAAGCAGAGAGAAGAACGATGGTGCTCAGCTCATTTTCCCCTTTTATTCAGCACAAGACCCCATTTATGGCAGTGGCACCACATTTAGGGCAGGTCTTGCCACCTCAACCGACACAGAAACTCCCTCACACCCGTACCCAGAGGTGATTTGTCTCCTGAGTAGATTCTGGCAAGATGGCCATGACTGCAAACACTGAGTGATTGGAACTCCGGTGACATGGAAAGGTTGGGATGTCGCAGGCCCACGGCCTAATTATGTCTTATCCTGTCTCTCAGCTTTAGTCCTTAAACAGGCATTTCCTTGCCCCTTCTATGTCAGGCCTAACATCCTGTGATTAGTAGATTAAAACCCTTTTGGGATTTATTAAGTTAGCAGACCCCTAGCTTCCACCAACTCGGAAGCTGAGGACATCCTGAGACGGCATCTGAAGCCTGAAGGAGAGATTCACTTCTCTGCTGTTTCCACTACAGAATTATAAAATTACCTTGACTTATGACTTTCTTTGTTCTGCAGCTATAAGACTTCGTGAAACGTGGAACCTGGGGGTACATAGCTCTGTGTTTCCTGGGCCATGGGCACTCAAATTTGGGTCCAGAACAAACGTTTGTTATTCCCTTTGAGGTGAAAGCTGTGTTTTTATATCAACACCTCTCCCGCCCCAGCGTCTGGGCGCTCACATTCTCATCCACTTCAGTCTCACTGTGGTCTTGGTCCTCAAGATAACAGAGAAAAGAAAAAACTGGGTTTACCCAGAAGATCAAGATAAAGGTGGAAATTGAGGTCTTCTGGCTTCTAGAAGGTGTTAGATCAGAGCAGAGAGGTTGCTCAAAAAGATCACCCACCCCATAAGATAGTTCATTTGAGAGGAGACTGGAAGAGTGGAGGAAGGGAGGCTGTGGTAGGGATGTATTTTATGAGAAGAATTAAAAAAGAATAGTCTGTATGACCTGAGTACACCCCAAAGCTAACCATAAACAAAACACGAAAGAGCTAGAGCATCCCAGGCTGGTTGTGGGTTCAAGGCCAGCACACCACTGCAAAACCTTCAAAACTGAACCAACACTGAAACCACAGCCCAAAGGAGACACAAAGATCACTGTCTGATAAAACAAGACAAAATATTAATATTCAATATAAGATTTAAACAAGACTCAGATCCCAGGACTCCTAATGCCCATGAGACAATCCAGAAATCACTTCATTTTTGAAGATCGGAGAAAATACCAACATCTGTAAAAACAAAAGACAAGAAGAAATCCAAGCAATAACAAGTCCAAGACAGTGTAGCTCCTGGAACTGAGGCATCAAAGCAGCTATTATAACTGTGCTCCAGGAAGGAACAGCAAATTTACCTGTAGCTAGTGGAAGACAAACCATCTCAACAGGGAGCATAAGATGCAAACCAGAAATCAAACTGAAGTTTAGAAAGATAAACTGCTCTAAAATGGCAAGCCTCCATGCTAACAAACACATATACACACAATAACAGTGCGTGAAATGGAAATACATGCAAAAATGTTACAGAATCAACTAAGCAGGCTCATAGGGGCTCAGTCTGAAGCAGCAATCATGGAGCCTGCACAGGGCTGCGTGAGGCCCTCTGCATTCATGCTGTGGTTGTTTAGTTGGTGTTTCTGTGGGACTCCTAACAGCGGGAGAGAGGGTGTCTCTGACTCTTTTGCCTGCTCTTGGGACCCTTTCCTCCTCCTGGGTTGCCTCATCCAGCCTTGATATGAGGGTTTGTGCCTAGTTTTACTGCATCTTGTTATGCCGTGTCAGCTGATACTCCTGAGAAGCATGCTCTTTTCTGAATGGAAATGGGGGAGGAGGGGATCTGGGGGAGAGGGCAGTGGGGGCTGGCTGGGAGGAGTGGAGAAAGAGGAGGCTGTGGTTGGGATGCATTGTATGAGAGAAGAATAAATAAATAAAAATATTTCCCACTTCAGATGAAGAAACCTTATCACATGGTCCCTTTCTCACTTGCCCTGTGAGGTGGTCGTTGTATTAGAAACGTACAAGTTAAAAAAACATCACCAACAGTACTACAGCTTTTGCTTTCAACCATACTTTACCCAGATACTTCCCATCCATGTCTCTATTGCTTCATTTCTACTGTCTTAAGCTTCCTATTGGAATAACCTCTTTTGCCAGAACTTTTGTGTGTGTGTGTTTGTGTACAGGGACTCCTACCCAAGTGCACAATGTGCATGTGTGTACATATACTTATGCTGGCTCTGTCATGCACTGCCATATTCCCTTGAGACGGTACCTCTCAGTGACTCTGGAGTGAGGCTGGCATCCCCAAAAGCACCAGTGATGCTCTGGATCTGTGCCAGTAGTATTTGTTTACGAGCTGCTCTAGAAGTACTGTGTCCATAGTTAATGTCACAGTGGACTCAGAACGAATAGTTTCTAGGCCAGGGAGGTGGCTCTACAGGTAAAGACACTTATCCCTACAGCCTGACGACCCTAGTTCGATCCCTGGAACCGGTGTGTAACTCTTACTCCACCCTAATAGGCTTCCCACTGCGCCATGTCAGATCAAAGGGGGCCGACAACCCCAAAGAGTGGTGTGGTGCCTGTCCGTGACATTCAGAAAAGGTGGTGAGAGGTGAGATTCCAGGAGAAAATGGTGGCTTTGGGACCATCCTGTCAGCAGCATAGGGAGGGACCTGAGCATGTGGCCTGTAAGCTCTGGGACTTGGAAAGAGTTGAGGACAGGCTGCTTGAGGTCTCCTGAGGAGCCTGTTGCCTTTCCTTGCAAGGCCTTGGCTTTGAGCTTCATTTGCCCACCCCCCCTGGCTGTGCCCAGACCCAGAGCTAACTGGCTACTCCTCCCCCCTTGCCCAGTACAGGCTATGGAATTCCCTGCTGTTGCTTAGGTATGAGACACATCCTGTCACCCCAGTCCTGGGGACAACTCTCCTGTGCATCCTTTCCTCTGCTTGGGTAGGCTCTCCAGCTGCCCTGCTGGAGCCAAGGAGAGAAGGAAGAAGACTCCGGGACACCAGGCCTTCCCTCGGGGCGGTGGAAAAATGAAGGTTAGTGGATTGGAAGGTAAAGAAGAAAGCGGCCCAGTCTCCAGACCCGGCTTTGTGTGTGAAAGAAACAGCTTTGTGTGTGGAAACACAGCAAGGCAGCCAACCCTGGGCTCTACTTGGGAAGGAACCGCCTGGCCCCAGCCCTGTGTCCTAGCTCGACTAGGAAGACAGCAAGAGCAGGACCCCAAAGAGCAATTCAGATGGGGCAACACCAAGTATCTGAAGAAAGGAGTTGAAAAGCCTCAGTCCCTCAATTAGAATCCCAGGGTCGCCTTGATGGGAAGAAAGGCGATCTGTGAACACTCTGTGACCTCTTTGCTATCCTCTCTTGGAGAAGTATAACACAGCCACACTCTGGACTGTCTGAGCTCCAGAGGTGTCTGTAGATGGCTACACATAGTAGGTCCTCCATAAATGGATTTTATCTTAGCAAAAGCAAAACACTGCTTACACACTGAGTGTAAAGATTAGGAGGGGCATAGCTGGATACCTCCCGTTTGCTCCGGGATTCAAAACTTCCTTACGAGGGAAAGTCTAGAAGAGAGCCTTCAGGAGACAGACGGGTCCAGTCCCCTCTCTCTGGCTGGCTGGCTGGCCACAGAGCCGCAGAAGGACCTGCTCTTCTGGAACCTTTCTTTTCCCCTCCCAGGCGACGTCCCTCGTCCGATGGGTGTGTCTGTCGGGCAGGAGGTGATACTTGAACAACTGCGGGGGCGGGCGAGTGCCGCGGAGCAAGGATACCGGCATAGGAGACAGCATGGCTTCCCGGGACACACCACCGGCCACCAGCTATGCCCCGTCCGACGTGCCCTCAGGGGTCCTTGCTGTGTTTGTCACCATCCCCTTTGCCTTCTTTCTACCGGAGCTGGTGAGTGGGGCCGTGGCTGCGGCCACCAGCTGGGAGGGAGGGGCAGAGCGGGATTGAGAACCATTCCAGCGCTAGCCACTGACCCACCGACCGCCACCCTCTCCCGGGATGGGGTAAGGCAGCTAGCTACACTTTCTCTACTGTCTGCCTGACCGCAGGATGTGTCCCTCAAGAGTGAACTTTCCTCCTTCCCAAAGAGGAACCTCCCCCCGGCCACTTGTTTGTTGGAGGTGCACAGCCACCTCCTAGACTACCCAGACCCCTCAGAATATTCTATTACCTGGTTTCTTTCCCCCTAGCTGTTTGTACTTGCCTAAAGTTCAAAGAACCAGGGGACTCTCTCTCTCTCTCTCTCTAAAAGGCCTTCAAAAAGAAGTTCTCCCAGGATTTCTCAAAGTACATCAGCTGACTTTGAACTTTGATTTATGTGCGTTCCACACAGGAGGGAGTTCATGGCAGAGCCATCCATAAAACAATCTCCTGAACCGCCCAAGTTACCCCAGAGAACTTGTCACTGTCGGACTCTGGGGCACCCCATAGCAGAACTGGGCATTATTCCCTGCCCGGGCTCAGCAATGCATCCAGTAGAAAACAGGTTCCCTCTGCTCCTGCTCTCATCTGCCTTCCCCAGAGCTTTCTGTCATACCTAGTTTGTGCGTGAATTTTTCTTCTGAGCTCTTAATTTGGCAGTGCTGCCTCTGGGTCGGGAGGAAGACTCAGAATACGACATAAAACTGGCACCAGTGGCCAACCTTTCCACTCTCTTGGTCTGAATGAAAGGTTGGTGCTGACTGAGTGAACTTTAGGCAAATTGGTTAAAACAGCCATTCTTGTCAATCAAGAAAGGGAAGCCAAGCTGGCCGAGTCCCATAGCTGGGTGGCTTTGGCAGAGACCCCACCTAGGAGGTAGGTTTCTTCCAACCCCCCCACAGCCGTGGGCATCCTGCCAGGCTGATCACATCCTGAGCTCTGTGTGCCAGGCCCTGGGTGTGGCCCTCCCTTTGGAGCAGCCACATGGATGACAGGATAGAGGCCGTCTCTGCCACTTTTTTATTGAGAGTATGCTTGTCAGTTACGCCAGTCATTGTCGGAAGGGTGGCTACCGCCCAGGGGTCTCTGTGGCTGGAGAGAGACTTGGAAATGTTTTCTGTGCGGTTTAAATGCAGCACCAGCAAGAAGAGATGGTCTGTCCCAGGTCAGGAAGGGGCCCAAGCCTGTCACTGGGCGTTGCCACCGGCAGAAGGCTGAGGCAGGAAAGCAGCTAGGTAGAGAGCTGGTGCTTGAGGGGCCAACAGATGTCCCCACCTGTCCGCCTGCAGTTGGATTCCTAGAAAAGTACTGTCATGGTGTCCTGGGACTTTGAGGAAAAGAGGACATTGTCATTGGTTTGACTTTCTTGACTTATTTTTAATTAATTTTAGATTTCTCTTAAAGACACAGTTGCAGTACAGGCAGTCTGTCTCACTCTGAACCCACAGGTCTCCCACGCTAGGAAGTTAGCATTAGCACTCTGCTGTTGGCCATTGCGGTCATACTTGATCATTTCCCCACTAATGGCCTTTCTCTGGCCCAGGGTCCAGGTTAAAACTCTTTACTGTGCTTGGTTGTCCTTCACCTCCAGTCTGGGGCGGGTCCCCCCCCCCCTTCATCTTGGTGTTCTAGAGAAAGGACTAGTCCATTAGGGACAGTACCAAGTTTCCTCACTGTAGCTCTATTTTTAATTTGCAAGTCACCCTTATTCATTGTTGAAAACTTAGAAAAGGCAAAAGTGGGTGGAACCTGTATGCATGCATGTGTTATATGTTCACAGATGGAGCATGTGCAGCGTGTGTGTGTGTGTGTGTGTATGAGTGTGAGTGTGTGTGAATGTGAGTGAGTGTGAGTAAGTGTGAATATAAGTGAGTGTGTGTGAGTGTTTGTGTGAGTGTGTGTGAACGTGAGTGTGTAAGTGTGTGTGAGTGTGAGTGTGAGTATGTGAGTGTTTGTGAGTGTGAGTGAGTGTTTGTGTGTGAGTGAGTGTGAACGTGAGTGTGTGAGTGTGTGAATGTGAGTGTGTGATAGTGTTTGTGTGAGTGTATGTGAGCGTGAGTGTGAGTGTGTGTTTGTGAGTGTGAGTGAGTGTTTGTGTGTGAGTGAGTGTGAACGTGAGTGTGTGAGTGTGTGAATGTGAGTGTGTGATAGTGTTTGTGTGAGTGTGTGTGAGTGTGAGTGTGTGTGCACGCGCGTGTGGTGAGTGCATCATTCTGCACACGCTATTGTACTTGCCGTGAGCAAGGACTCCAGAATAATCATGTGTGCCTAGATGGAAGATGGGAAAGAGGGGACGAGGTTGGGGAAAGGATCAAGTTTGGATTCCATAAACAGAAGCTAGGAAGACGTGTATGTGTGCTGAACCAGTCTGGCTCAGACCTGTTTTTGGCTTGGGCAGTCTGATGTAGCCCCCTCGGCTATCCATGGAGCAATGTGAAAGGACCATGACTCCAGGTATTCCTGACCCTTCCTTAGTCTTCTGGTCTGAGACAAAGGTCTATAGAATGGGTTAGAAAGCAGTGAGGCCAGGACACCACTGCAGAGCAGAGAAAGCAGTACCCAAGAACTAGGGGGCAGTGATTCTGCAGTGGAGTAGGTTGGGGTGATATCACACAATGCTATCTTCAGTGACCTACCCCCAACCACCAACTGTTGTTGTGGAGCACCACATGGAGTCAGTGGGCAGATTCATTGTCAGAGCAAATCTAATAAACTGGGGTCTTCCCTGATGGCGATAAGCCACACTCTATCATGGAGGTACAACTTTGGCTCTTTGTGGCTCTTGAAGATGACAGGCCAGGTAGGGTAGCTCAGGCTCCCAGTAGCTTACTCTAATGACCATTGCCTGCAATGCTTTATTTACCAATCTTCAGCATTAAAATTCACATTTTGAAACTTTTTTATTCTGTGATAATGATGGTTCTATAGGAACTTGCATTCCCTGAAATTCCCCAGTGGCCATGTTTTTCCTAACTAGAAAAAGTTTTAAAACTGGGAAACTGAGGTTGGCAAGACAGATCTTCAGTTTACCCCTGTAGATCTGTCTGAGAACAACCAAGGTTCAGGACTGTCTCATCACACCAAAAGCCCCCCTTTTGCTACTCTCTGTGGGCCCCCAACCCATCCCGTGTTCCTTCTCACTATTCCAAACAGTCTGTTAGAAATAAGTACGTATACAGATAATTTTTTAGTTCAAGAAAGTTATATAAATAAATGTAATTGAACAGTATAGGACCTTTCTAGACTCACCTGGTCCTTGATGTCCACCTGAGTTGTCTGGATTCACAGCTTGTTCCTTTTTTGTTGCTGAGTAATATTCCACGATAAGGATTTTTTTTCATAATCTAACCCATCTCTATTGAATGTTTCCAGTTCTTGGCAGTTTCTAATAGAGCTGCTGTTGGCATTCATGTTCAGGCTTTTGTTGGAGTACATTTTTCACTTCTCTGGAGGAAAATGCCTAAGTGTAACTTGCTAGGTGGAAGAGTGGGAGTCTATTTTGTTATTATTAAGAGACTAACAAATTGTTTTACAGGGTGGTTGGAAAATGTTTTGTTGTTTGTTTTGCATTTTTACTGCTTCCCTAGCATGGCATGAAACTTTAACATAACTGAGGTTTTGTTCAATGTAGTGGAGAATCTAGATTTCTTATTTAAAAGTACTACTTGGGCAAATGCATGGAACTAGAAAAGAAACATCCTGAGTGAGGTAACCCAGAGCCAGAAAGACAAACATGGTATGTACTCACTCATAAGTTGATACTAGACATAAAGCAAAGGATAACCAGGCTATGACACACAACCCCAGAGAAGCCAGGAAACAAGGAGGACCCTAAGAGGGACACACATAGCGGGCCCCAGGAAAGGGAAATAGTTAAGATCTCTTGGGTAAACTGGGAAGGGAGGGGATGGGGACACGGTGAGCAATGAAAGGGATGTCTTGATAGAGGGAGCCATTATGGGGTTAGGGAGAAACCAGTTGCTAGGGAATTTCTCTGGAAGCCACAAGGATGACCCCAGCTAAGACTCCTAGCAATAGTGGAGAGCGTGTCTGAACGGGCCTTCCCCTATAATCAGATTAGTGACTGCCCTAATTGTCATCATAGAACCTGCATCCAGTAACTGATGGAAGCAGATGCAGTGACCCACAGCCAAGCACTGGGCTGAGCTCCTGGAGTTCATTTGGAGAGAGGAAGGAGGGATCATATGAACAAGCGGGGGGGGGGGGAAGGGGGCAAGATATGATGGGGAAAACTACAGAGACAGCTGACCCAAGCTAGTGGGAGCTCACAGACTATGGACTGACAGCTAGGGAACCTGCCTGGGACCGAACAAAGCCCCCTGAATGTGGGTGACAGTTATGTGGATCAGTCTGTTGTGGGGAGCTGGGAGTGGGACCAGGACTTATCCCTGGTGCATGAACTGGCTTTTTGGAGCCGATTGGGATACCTTGCTCAGCCTTGATACAGGTGGGAGGGGCTTGGTCCTGCCTCAACTTGCTATATCAAGGGAGGCCTTAGCCCCTCAGAGGGGTGAAAGGGGGTGAGTGGGAGAGGAGGGGGTGGGAGGGCAGAGGGTAACTGAGACTAGTGTGTAAAATGAAAAAAAATTAAATAATTTTTTTGCCAAAAAAAAGCATTGCTTGAAAACAACCTTAGCTGGGCAATAGTGGTGCATGCCTTTAACCCCAGCACTCAGGAGGCAGAGACAGGCAGATCTCTGTGACGTCAGTTTGATCTACAGAATGAGTTCCAGAACAGTCAAGGCTACACAAAGACACCCTGTCTTTAAAAAACAAAAACAAAAAGAGAGAAAAGAAAAGGAAAAAAGAAAGAAAATAACCTCTGAGGGTGAGGAGCTCAGTGGTTTGAGAAGAGAACAGACCTCCACTTATTTTTCCACCCCATTCAGAGTGTGGGCTCTGGGTCGTGCCAGCACTGGGGGCTAAGCCTGGGTTGGGCATGGCAGCCA